TGAGGACTGTAGGGACTGTGGGGACTGTAGGGACTGTGGGGACTGTAGGGACTGTGAGAACTGTAGGTACTGTGAGGACTGTTTGTTTTCCAACATGGCAGTCGGTCACAAACCTCCTCCTCAAACAGTCACATATGTTCACAGTAATTGCTGCAGTCACAAATTGATCGATTGATTGATTGATTGAATAATTGATTGATTGATGTCTGATGTCATACGTTTGATCTGCAGCGCCTTATTTGACTGCGGTGGTGCTCGGAGAATCCTGGGATCTCATTGCTTGTTTTTATTCGGCCACAATAGAAAGAGGGACATGAATTATTCCCCAGACCGTCACCTCGCACGTCACTTTAAATAAGCTCCACCCCTCTCCATCACCTCTGTTACACTTAAATGTTTTAGCTTCATGATGTCACATCCTGTCAAGATGATGTAACCCATCACAGTAAACTGATCCCAGTCCTGTAACGGTGTTCTGTACACAGGTTGGGGGTCCGGCTGCATCCTGTCCACCAGGTGAGGTTGGAGGGCGTGACCTCTTTATCAGGACACCTGAGTGACTCATCCAGCAGCGAATCAGCTGTCAGGGTGTCGAAGCGATGCCCTGTGGCATCTCCAACTCGTCGTCTGCGTTTTGAGGATGAAACTGAGACAGAAGTGGAGTCCCGTTACCTGGAGCGACAGCAGCAGAGGAGACCAGGAGTGCAGCGAGGGACTGAGGTCCTGGTTTCTAAACCAGACTTGAACCGCTACATCAACAGCAGGGCAGGACCAGGGTCCGGGCCGCAGGGGGCGGGGCATGTTGTTGACAGATGGCAAAGAGGACGGAAGCCCTTGGACAGGGCGGGTCAGTGCAACTCCTGTCACTCTGGCCTGAACCTCTGTCTGTGCCCACCTGTACCTCAAGAGCGGGGGCGGAGTCTGTACAGGCCCTGCCTCAACCTGCACACCGAGCCAATCAGAGAGACCTACATCGGCTCTGTCACACCAACGGGGGGAGGGGACGGGACTGGCTGTGACGCTAACAACCAGGTGAGGAGGAGGACCAATCAGGTGGAACTTAATGGAAACCAGATGACCATCCCTCAGGTCACGCCCACTACAGATCTTCCAATCAACCCCTACGCCCCCGACCAGCTGACTGCACCCAGTTTCAAATGTCAACCCTCCCCATCTCCTCCACCTGTGACATCAGCAATGATGTCACAGGGCATCAGGCTCAACGGCACAATGTCAGAGCAGGAGATGCCTGCTGCTCCGCCCCCCAACACGGAGCTCCGACCAGGGCCTGAGCTGAAGGGGAGGAAGAGCTCCTCCTCAGAGACAACAGGTGAGAACCTTCATGTGTTATCACAGTGACATACATGACATACAGATGAGTAGAGAGCACACCTGTGACACCTGTCACATGATGTCACAGGTTTCATGATGTCACAGGTTTCATGATGTCACTGGTTGTCATGATGTCACAGGTTTCATGATGTCACTGGTTGTCATGATGTCACGGGTTTTATGATGTCACAGGTTTTATGATGTCACAGGTTTCATTTTGTCACAGGTTTCATGATGTCACAGGTTTCATGATGTCACAGGTCTGTCTTCAGGGACGTCAGTCTGTCGTTCCTGAGCAAGAAGTGGAACCTATGATCAGAATGATGATGCTGGGTTCTGGTCTGTGTGAACAGTTTAAGTTTATTTACTTTATTAATCCCCTGAGGGGAAATTCTGTGTTTTCACTTTTGCTTGTCAATTACACACAGGTCCGAACACACACACATGCACAAACAGGACCTATACATGCACAAAGTGGAGAGATGTCAGAGTGAGGGGGCTGCCCTTGGTGAGGCCCCCTGAGCAGTTGGGGGGTTCGGGGCCTTGCTCAAGGGCACCTCGGCAGTGCCCAGGAGCTGAACTGGCACCTCTCCAGCCACCAGTCCACGCTCCATATTTTGGTCCGGACGGGGACTCGAACAGGCGACCCTCCGGTTCCCAACCCAAGCCCCTATGGACTGAGCTACTGCCGCCAAAACAGAACACTGGACCTGATGGACTCCGCTGAGGAGCCTCAAAGGGTCCCTGAATCTCTGGTTGAGAACCTGACCAGAAATTCTCCGTGATGTTCTTCATCATGTTGAGAACACGAAGCAGCAGAACGAGGTCTTACAGGTCCTCATCAGTGAAACAACGTGTCCTCATGACAGTTTATATGACGTACCAATAACGTCACACCCTAAACATGACGTTATGGAGGTCAGGTTGGTCACATGATCACAGCCCTCCTATATACGTGTGTTTTCCATGGATCACTCTCTCATGGTTCCACAGGAAGGAATGTTGGTTCTCAGGAAAAATGTAGCGACAGTTTATGACACCGGATGGACGACACAACCATCAAACGAATCCATGTTAGAAACATCGACCAGATGAGATGTCACAGGAGGAGCCTGAGGAATCTGAGGACTTTGAGACTCTGAGGACTCTGAAGACTCTGAGACACTGAGGACTCTGAAGACTCCGAAGACTCTGAGGACTCTGGGGACTCTGAGACTGTGAGACTCTGAGGACTCTGAAGACTCTGACACACTGAGGACTCTGAAGACTCTGAGGACTCTGAAGACTCCGAAGGACTCTGGGGACTCTGAGACTGTGAGACTCTGAGGACTCTGAATACTCTGAGACACTGAGGACTCTGAAGACTCTGAAGACTCTGAGGACTCTGGGGACTCTGAGACTGTGAGACTCTGAAGACTCTGAAGACTCTGAGACACTGAGGAATCTGAAGACTCTGAAGACTCTGAGGACTCTGGGGACTCTGAGACTGTGAGACTCTGAGGACTCTGAATACTCTGA